GGGGTCTCCAAGTGGCTCCTCCAGTTCCTAGGGCATCAGCATAGTGCCACATGTCTTGTCAGTAGAGCGTCTCTCAGGGAGTGAACTGAGAGAGAGAGAGAGAGAGAGACACACTCCCACCTCCAAGGAGAAAATACAGGAATTCCCAGAATCCTCAGGAGAAGGCCCCACACAGAGGCTTCATTGGCTATGACTCAGAGACTCCACCCCTCCACTCTTAATCCTCTCAAATCCCAAATTAACACCAGATTACGTAACTACCGCATTTCCCTCAGGAGAAAGATGGGGTGCACTACTGTGAAGAATTACAGTCTTTAAACACACAAGGTTCGCTCTGTGTTGTTCTATAGGGTCACTGTGAGTCAGCATCAACTTGACAGCAGTGGGCCTGATTATCTTCACTTTGGGTCATTCTAGTATTCCCCAGCAGGCAATATTGCCCACTTTGGAAAACACCACTCTAAAGCAACCCAGTACTCTTTCCTTTTGTCATGTCTTACTGTATTATTTCTCTTTTTTTGATTAAATTGTCTGCTAACTGTTTTGAGTTACTAACATAAAATGACATAGGCTCTTCTGGACATCTTTACAGCCTATGCAAAACTCCCATTTAAGCAACAAACAACCTCTCCGGACGTTCTCGGAGGATGGTTGCCTGTGGACTGTTGTAGGGACTGCACTGTGGACAAGGGAGGAATGGACCCGCCCTGCCATTTGCCCAAGGAATCACTTTGCGTTCTTCATATTATGTCCATTTTGAAAAAAAAACAGCACCTATCCCCCAAATATGAAAACCAGTTTCTTGCGAGTTGATTTCAGATTCCTGGCAACGTCATGTATGTCACAGTAGCATGGGGCCCCACAGGCTTTCCGTGGCAGGTGTTCTCAGACGAAGATTGCAAGGCCTTTCTGCCAAGGTTCCTCTTGGTAAACTCAACCTCCAACCTTCTCATGAGAAGCCAATCCCAGCACCTTAACTGTCTGCACACCACCCCCCTGCTCCTTCCTTTATGGTTGGGCTAACTCCCTGCCCCCACCCCCATCCCTGTCATTGTCTGTGTACGTACACACACACACACACACACACACACACACACACACACCTCTTTGTTGTTCTTTGTCATTCCTCCAGTGCCTGGCATCCCTTTGTCTTCTCCAGTTGGGCCATCAGCACATGCCAAATTGTTATTGGCGCCTTACACGGATGGCTGCTCATGAGTGCAATCACAACACACTCCTTGCAGATTGCTCCAGTGACTTGGCCCGCAACGCTGTATAAGAGAAGGCCAAGGAAAACCAGCAGAATCAAGTGGAGATAGAGCAAGTGGCATTTTAATAGCAAAAGACCTATTTGCCAGAGTGGTCATGTCTGTCAAATGCACCCCTGAAATGCTGGCTGAGTGCATTCTTGGTTGTAGCCGACTGGCCTGGGCTGGGAGGAGGCACAGCAATAGAGATGTCTCGTTTTCTAAGCTTATTTCAACCATGGAGGTAATATTGCTTACCTCCTCTTAGGAGGCCTTGAGTATTCACGGGGTGTTTGTGAAGCACTTCATCTGTGTCTGGAATAGGGGCAGCCCGTGCTCACAGCCGTGCACCCGGGTCTCGTCGGCATTCATTTCATTGTCTTGTAACAAATCACCATAAACTTAGGAAATTAAAATGACACGCCTTATTACCCCTTAGTCCCTGGAGGTCAGGTATGTAAACACAGAGGCCTCTTCTCAGGGTCTCACAAGGCTAACAGCGGGTGTTGGTTGGGCTGTACTCGTATCTGAAGCTTGAGGCTCTTCAGGTTCCTTCAGGTGGCAGAATTCAGCTCCGTGGGCTGTGAGGCTGAGCTCTGCGCTCTGGTTGGCCAGCCGAGGATGAGGCTCAGCTCCTAGAGACCACCCTTGGGTGCTCCACTTGGGGCTCGCTCCCTGCCTGGCCGCTGCCCCTTCACACCCAGCAGAGCGTCTCCAGTTCGAGAGGGCAGTTTCGTAGAATGTACTTAACACACGTGTGAGTCCGAAGGCATTTCGACAACATTATAGAACCTTTCATCAAATAACAAAATCAAAATGTGAATCTGTTTGTTTATCAGCATGCCCTCTGTCTCGGTCCATACGTTTCTGAAGACGGCATTTCCATCTCTGACTGTTCCTGTAGAATTCTGTGAGGAAGGGGTTTGGGTCTTCTCAGGGTACTCGGAATTGTGTTGCTTTTCAGTGTGCTTTACGTTTAGGGAACAAAAGCAACGCTGAGCGGGACAACGGATCAGGGCTTTGGGATGTGAGGGTTCCCAGTGAGATGATCCGAGGACAGCCCTCGCTGCCCTCGAAGCATGAGCAAGTGCGTTGTCATGATGGGAAGAACATTTTCATGGTGCAGCTGTCCTGGCTCTCTTCTCACCAGAGCAGTTTCCTCGTTCTTCACCTTTCTTTTCTTCATAAGTCCCTGCGATCACTCTGGGCCCTTCGAGAAAATCTATCAAGAGTACCTCATTGGAATCCCCCACCCTCACCCCAAAGTCAGCATAACTTTCAGAGCTGACCTCTCTGCCTAAGTTAAAAGGCAGATATCTTTGGAAGCCACTGCTTTGATAGGATCTTATTTTTAAAGTGACTTTGCCAAGACTAAGACAAGAATATTATTGATGGAACTGATCCAGGAGGCGTGTGCAAACATTTTGTGTGCCATCAGAACATGACTGTATGGACTGGAATCCCAAGAGCAATGCTTTGTGACTTAGCCTTAGATGATGTTTTATGGGCATGGGAGTGACTGTCCCATCACCTTTGCACTGAGGAGTAGCCTACTCGAGAGAGCAGCCACTATCCTATTGGCAGTGCCCTTCACACGCAAAAGGAGGGGAATTGTATAGAGTATGTGATGTGTACAAGGGAATGTGAATCTTGGGGGTCATTTCTGAATTGTGCCAACCACATCACTGCACCCTGAATATAACGTAAATGCTAAAGACTCTTGCCTTTGCAAACTCCTGAGGGGAAACGGTCCCTTCTCTTCTGGTTTTCTGTTAATTCCCTAAATTCCAACTGAAAACCAAACCCATTGTTGCTCAGTCATAATAAGCCATGGGTTTCTGCTTCGTGGATGTGTTAGTCTGGGCGGACTAGAGAAACAAATCAATGGACACACATATATGTATAAGAAAGAGATTTATATACAAGATTTATATACAATTATATACAATTGAACATTGAGAAAGCATCCCAGTCCAGATCAAGTCCATAAGTCCAATATTAGCCCATATGTCCGATACCAATATAAAGCTCCCTTCAGACTCATGAAACACGTGCAATGACGCTGAATGTAGAAGATCACAGGTCAGTGGGTAGAAAGTTTTTGGATTCAGTGGCATTGGGAACATCTCAGCGCTGGCAGGGGTCTCCACATGGCTTCTCCAGCTTCAGAGGTCTGGTTGCATCAGGGTAGGTCCATGTGGCTTCTCCGCTCAGGGCACTAGTGTCTTGTCAGCTTCAGTGTCTCCTAGGAAGTGGCAGAGAGTCTCCCATCTCCAAGGTGGAAAATCAGGATTTCCCAGAATTCTCAGGAGAAGGCCATGCACACACAAAGGCCTCATTGGCTATGATCTGATTGACAGGCTAGACTCCACCCCTACACACTTAATTCTTAAGTTGACGATTACATAACTACCACAATGGGCTGTAATCTTTACAAAGTATGATTGCCCAGCCTTATTCCCAGCCCTGCTCGGTGGGTTTGAACCAACAGCCTTTAGGTAAGCGGTTCTCAACCTATGGGTCGCAACCCTTTGGGGGTTAAACGACCTTTTCACAGGGATTTCCCAATTCATAACAGTAGCAAAATTACAGTTATGAAATAGCAATGAAAATAATGTTATGGTTAGGGGGTCCCCGCAACATGAGGGACTGTATGAAAGGGTGGCGGCGTTAGGAAGGTTGAAAACCATTGCTTTAGATTCACAGATCAGTTCACAGAGGAGCTCAAATCATTCACACTAACCTCATTTGGGCTCCACCTACCCTAAAATGAAGAAGTCCATTATCTCTCCCTCGTGTCTCCCCTCCCCTCCTCTGCGCCTTCACACACGGGAATACCAGTTCTCCAGGACCATTCACTTTCTCCTGGAGGAGGAGACCCCAATGGGTTGCTGTTGACGATATTCCTGCACTGTTTCCATGGAGAGTGCTGTCTGAGCAGCCCAGACACAGGAGGCCCCCCATATTGGGCGCCGATCTTATCTTACACTCTCTGCTTACCTACTTCTGGGCAAAGTGTAGGCATGGGACCTGTGTAGCCAGGATTGCGGGGACCTGCAGCACCAGCACCCTAGGGAACCAGCTCCAGCATTTTCATCCTGAGACGGGTGGGGCACTGAAGAGAGACCTGCAAGGATCAATGTTATACCCACATGCCTGTCACGGGCCTGCCTTCCCATTGCAGAACTGACAAGTCTCAGGCTTGTCTTTTGTCATGATGCACGCATAGGAAGAAGCCCGTTGAAAACGGGTGCACAGCCCATGTTTGAAGTGACCTTATCCACCTTCGCCTCTTCCATTTGGGTCACTAGATCGACCATGGTCAGTTCTGCTAGTTTTGTGGGATGCAGTTGGTAACAGTCATCTTCGTTAGCTACCACCCACCCCCACCAGCTTCCACTCTCGTTTCTCCTCCACTTGCCCGCCCCTGTCACACACACCCAAGAATGACATCCCTGGATGGTGCAAATGCTTTGCCTACTTGGCTGCTAGTCCCAAAGTTGCAGATTTGAGCCAGGCGGCTCCTCTGAAGAAAGGCCTGCCAATCTGCTTCCAAGAAGCCAGCCCCTGAAAGCCCCTATCGGGCACACTGCCACCCTCCCACACGGGGTACAGGGACACTGCGTGGGGGTGCTGAGAGGTGGCGTTGACCTGACCACGTCGGGTTTAAGACCGACATCGTTTGCACAACCTAGCCTGGTCCGTGGCTTACTTTCCAGTTCAGAGTGTGACCCCTGTGCCCTCTCTCCACAGATGCCGCTCCTTCGAGGACTGCTGTGGCTCCAAGTGCTGCGTGCGGGCTCTCTCCATCCAGAGGCTGTGGTACTTCTGGTACGTCCCAAGGCGACTTGTTCTTGGATGCCCTGCTCTGCCCCCGGAGGGCTCTCCTTGTAGCCTCTGCTATCATCACTCACCTCAGGCAGACCCCGGGGGCTGTGGATTGGGGGGCAGCTTTTGAGGTTGGCTGCATGGACCGCGATGATGTCTTTTGCCAGCAGTTCATCCCCATTTCCTCAGGTTCGGGGCTAGGGGAGAATAGTGAGCGTTAGAAATGCGGGAGGCAGGCAGTTGGCCTCCACCTTCATCTGCTCTTGAGTAAGTGTGAAATGGAGCTGAAGCTGCTGTCTTAAAGAACCCGTCTTCACAAATGCAGGCCTGTAATCTGATTTCTCTTGCCTGGAAGCCTTCCCTAGGCCGCTATTTCAACCAGGTGTTAACTTTCCAGTCGGCAGCCTCAACCTCGGTCCACCTGCCACTGCTGCAAAGGAAGTCCAGTGACTTTTCTGAATGTTCTAAAACCAGACCCTGAAAAGGCATCAGGTCACGATGCAGGAAGAATCCCTCAGAAAGCATGTGGTACAGGAGTTCTACTTATGAGAAATGCATATTGTGTTGGTTGTTCTCTTTAAAATTGATTCGGCTCGGTAGTTGATAGATAGGATGTCAGGTGTCAGGGATGATAGAGCATGTATAGGGAAGGATTTCCTTAACATCGCCAACTCACGTGAGTATCCACTATCAAAGTGCCCGAGACTGTGGAGCGGGAGCCCTTGAACGGCCGCAGCACAGTGCTCAGCCACTGCAGGCTTCCTTCTCTCTCCCCGTGTCTCCATCTCTGCCTGGGGGGCTCCTGGTTTACTCCTGGTGTTTGCACCCAGATTGGGCTAGCTGACCTGCTCGGTTAATGATTACTCAGAACTTTCCAGTTACAGGGACTTTGAGAGTGTCCTTTCCACAGGTGATTGGGTGTGCTCTGGTTTCACTCCCAGTCCTGAAGAGAGGGAGCGAGAGCATTGAAAAATCAAACCACATCACATACACTTGTTTCTTTTAATCCTTGGAAAACATCCCAAACCCACTGAGCAATAAACATGAACCATTAGTGTGTAGCTCACCGCCCGTCGAGGAGCCTGTTCACCTTTGAGTTGGTTCACGTTCATCTTGACCCCCATGTCCAAGAGAAGGGCACACTGCCTGCGCCTCCCTCATCTTCACAGACGTTGCTACGTTGAACCCCATGGTTGCAGGCCCTCTGCCAGTCTATCTCATCGAGGGCCCTCCTCTCTTTCGCTGCCAAGCATGATGTCCTTCTCCAAGGACTGGTCCCTCCTGATCACATGCTCACGGAGCTACTATCAGCTCTCCCTGAGCTGATAGCCACGTCACACTTTCCTCGTAATAAGTTCGTTCCTTCCACCATCAGATCTTATCTTTTAAAAGAGGCTCCTTTCAGACCAGTACTTCAATCGTGAATGGCTCCTTTGACGGATAGCCTGAGCAGGTGGTAGCTTGTTCCGTGTGACTGCTCTGTCCTTCCTTGCTCTGTCGGGATAAGGGCAGGTACACACAGGGAGCTTGAACATAAGCTACCTGCCTCTGTGCCTCTGCAGCGGTGCCGTTTGATAAGTTCAAGAAAAAGTATTATTTGTTATAAACCAACATTTTAGCTCCTCTTGGGCATTGAACCAAGATCTCAGATAACTTCTACCTCTTTCAGGCCAGCCTACTCGGAGTAACCAATAACATTTTTGAGAAAGCCTGCTAATATTTCTATTTCTGCTAGTATCTTTGTGTTGGGGCCAGGACTGGTGTACGATATGACTGAGTTCATCCCAGAAAACTTAGCTTTAAGAGCCTGAGCTGTTCCTTTTGTGCCTTCAGCGTGTGCAATGCTAAGAGTTGCCTTCCTTTGTCAAGCCCCTGCACACTCTGCACCTCTGGAGATCTCAGAGCCGGTGCCCTTGCCTTCCTCTCTCCACCGACTCCAGCCACACCAGCATCTGCCTCCAAGTACCTGTGCTGATTTTCCACCCAGCGTCTTCTTTTCTTCCCCTGCAGCTGCTCTCATCCTCCCATCCTCCAGCGCTCTGCTCAGATGCAACTTTGAAGGAAAAGCAGCTCTTCCCAGCTTCCTAACAGAGCTGGGTCACTCTCGTGAATCTTGCCAGCTCTACCAATTGTACATACCAGTCCAGGGAGACTGAGATCTCCCACGTCTGACCCGATCTGTATGGTAGACAACAAACCCCACCGTGCCCCGTGGAAACCTCAGCTTCCCCTCCCTGCTCAGTTCAGACCCCAGCAGTGCACATATCCCCTGTCTTTCTCATTCCTCGTCATCGCGGCCTGGATCAGCAGGTTCTGACCTCAAGCTTGGTACTAGTCCATGTGATTATTTCATTTTAGACAAATCAGCCATGAATTTTTCTGCCTCCTCAGGATACTCGGGGCTACATATAGCTCCCTCCATTTCAGATCATCCAAGCCGCCCTAGTCAATTGGGTGCTAAAATTCACTGGATTGACTCACAGAATGCACAGGAAAAAGCATACATGAAAGAACCACTTAATGTAGCAAAATAAGGTTATAAATGAAGATGCGTAGAGTGAGGTCCAGGAGAGGGCCCAGTTTGTAGCTTTCATTTACCTACAGAATATGCTACCCTAACCAATCAGGAAGCTCCAGCTACGCCTCAGGAGTCAGGATTCTTACCAGCCTCCTTATGTGCCTATGATAAATTACATCATACTTAATGAAGTTATTCAGCATCATGTCCGTAGGTGGTCCCTTTTGGTCTTACTAGTCTCCATTCATTAGTCTCACGTATATTCCTGTTCCCAGAAACCTAAAACAAAAGGCCAAATTGCTTTACGCACCTCACATTAATTGTGAATTAATTGTGTTAGGCAGAGTTCTCTAGAGAAACAAAACCAGGGCACTTATGAACACACACACACACACACACACACACACACACACACCGAGAAGGAGTATAACAGCTAATAAGTCCATACAGGAGTACAGAGGCCTCAGTTCAACTCACTTTTGTGGAACAGGTAAATATACTGGAAGTCCTTCAACTCACGTGGGATGCCGGGTTCAAGTCAAAGAAGCAGACAGCCGAGTCTCAGGCAAGGCAGGCAGAGTTTTCCCACAGCCAGTAAACAGCATGGTGGGTCAGCAATTGCCAGTAACTTGGGAGTTGAGTAATGCAGGTCCAGATAGGATATCAAACTCAAGCACTGCAAGGTGACAGGATCCACCAGCCTCAGGCTCAAGAGATGTATGCACCAGCAGCATGGTGAAGCAGTCTCGTAGGAGCCTCAAGCTCTAGCAACAGGATCCGTGGGTTGGCATGGCCCACAGGTAGTGTAGCACACAGGTTGAGGCAGAGAACTAGCTAAAGCAGCAACACCCTGTTCCTGTCAACAGAGAACAAAAGAAGCGGGGGGTGGGGTGGCTTGCAGAGCCACTAATCTCTTTGCCCTCCAATCAAACTGCCACCTGATTCATCCCACATGTTCCTATTGTCCAGGTTGGCACAATAAACCTACTATCACACCCTTTAAAGCTTCCTCTTGAATTCCTCCCTTTTCTCTCTTAGCACTGACTGGAGTTGTACCACCACATGTCTGTCAATGTGTTGCACTGTGGTGGCTTGCGTGTTATTGTGATGTTGGAAGCCATGGAATTTCAAATATTATCAGGGTCACCCACACTGAACAGGTTTCAGCAAAGCTTCCAGACTAAGAACAGATTACAAAGAAGAAATCACTTATGCAGAAATTGAAGAATTCTAATGTCTTCAGTCTGAAGTTAATCAAGCATACAATTAAGATGCATTGATGATTGTTGGCCACTAGTATGCAAAAATTGGAAACAAACAGGAAGGAACAGTAGTTGGAAAATATAGTCTTAGTGATAGAAATAAAACTGTAGATCACATAACAGAATTTTGCAACACCAATGATTTTTCATAGAAAATACCTTTTTTTCAATGACTATCTACATGGTCTTCTCCAGATGGAATACCCAGAAATCAAATGGATGACATCTGTGGGAAGACACTATGGAGAAACTCAATTGTAGCAGCTAAAATCCTGCCAAGGGTTAACTATGGAACAGACCATCAATGACTCCTATGTGAGTTTGGGGTGAAGTTGAAGAAAATGAAAACAAGTCTTTCAGAGCCTAAATAGGACTTTGAGTCTATGCCACCCTAATTTCGAGAAAATCTCAAGAACAGATTTAACAGATTTGATCTATTAAACATTAATTATAGAAAACCTGATGAGCTGTGGGATGACATCAGGAAGGAAACAAGATCAGGTAAAAGACAGGACAGAAGAAAAAAAAGATCAAATTGGATGTCAGAAAAGACTCTGAAAATTGATCTTAATTGTAAGAAATGATAACGTGTTTAAAAGAAAATGTCAAAGGGCAGCTTGAGAAGACAAAGTAAACTATTATAATGAAATGTACAAAGACCTAGAATTAAAAAACCAAAAATGGAAGAACTAGCTCATCATATCTTAAACTGAAATAACTAAAGAAAAATTTCAAGCCTCAAGTTGTGATATTGGAAGATCCTGTGGGTAAAATATTGAATGATGTAGGGACCATTAAAAGAATACAGAAAGAATGCACATAGTCACTGTCCCCAGACGTAGTCAACATTCCACCATTCCAAGTGATAGCATACGATCAAGAACCAGTGGCACTGAAGGAAGAAGTCCAAGCTGCACTGAACATATTAGCCAAAAAACAAGGTTCCAGGAATTGATGGGATGCGAATTAAAATGCTTTAACAAGCTGATGAAGCACTGGAAGCACTGCCTCATCTATGCCAGGAAATTTGGAAGAAAGCTACTTGGCCAACTAACTGAAAGAGATCCATATTTATGCCCATTCCAGAGAACGATGACCCAACAGGGTATGCAAATTATAGAACAGGATCACTGATCTCACATGCCAGTAAAATTTTGCTGAAGATCATCCAACAATGGTTTCAGCAGTACATTAACAGGGAGCTGCTAGATGTTCAGGCTGGATTCAGAAGAGGTCAAGGAACAAGGGATATCATTGCTGATGTCAGATGGAGCTGGGCTGGAAGTGAGACTACTGGAAAGAAGTTTGCTTGTGTTTCATTGACTATGCAAAATCATTTGATCGTGTGGCTCATAACAAACTGTAGATAGCTTTGAGAAGAATGAGAATTCCAGAGGACTTCATTGTGCTTATGCAGAACATTTACATGGATCAAGAGGCAGTTGTGCCCACAGAACAAGGGAATGAACTGTGTATGGTTGAAGATCAGGAAAGGTGTGTGAAAGGGTTGTGTCCTCTCACCATATCTATTCAATGTGTGTGCTGAGAAAAGAATCAGAGAAGCTGAATTATATGACTAAGAATGTGCTATCAGAATTGAAGGAAGACTTATTAACAATCTTCAATATGCAGATGATGCAGCCTTGCTAGCTGAAAGGGCAGAGGACTGGGAACACTTGCTGTTAAAGATAAAAAACCGAGGCCTTCAGTGTGGATGACAGCTCAACAAGAAGAAACAAAAATCCTCCCCACTGGACCGGGAGGTAACATGCTAAACGGAGAAAAGAGTGTCGTGGATTTCCTCTTGCTTAGACGCCCCATCCTGCTCAGGGAAACAGCAGGCCGAGTTCAGACTCATTTCATTGGGTGAAGCCACTGTACAACACTCTTTAAAGGAAAGTGTTCAAGGACGAGGAGGGTGCTTTAAGGACAACAGCACAATGGACCCAACCAGGGTGTTTTCAGTCTCCTCTTCAGCATAGGAAATTAGGACATGGAATCAGGAAGACTGCAGAAGAGTCTCACATTTGAGCTGTGGTGTTTTTGAAAACTATCAAATGTATCATGGACTGCCAAAGGAGCAAACCAATCTGTCTTGGAAGAAGTACGGCCAGAGTACTCCTTAGAGCAAGGATGGTGAGACGTCGTCTCCTGTAAGTTGGCTATGTTATCAGCAGAGAGGGCTACAGCTGTCTTGTTACCCGTTGCTGGTAGCATAGCAAGTCCTTCAGAATCAATCGTTGAATGAACAGTGAACCAGAAGGCAAACCAGACATACATTTAGCCCTACACCGAGTTACTTCCTTTCTTGTGCCTCTGACCTTTCTTCTTGCTCAGTGCTTCAAAACGTCAGTAAACACTTATTGATAGACTTGGATTATTAGCTTACTAATGTTGAAATTTGAGTATTCTTGATGACTTTATCATCTGCCTTTCCCCTAAGTTTCTTTTACATGTGTACAAGTGCCCATTGTGGCGTGTGCTCATGGTTCATAAGAGAGTGCGTAACCCCCACGCTGAGTGAATATTTTTGTGTGAAGTTCTGTGAGGCTTCCACAAATCCCATAATAGTTCCAGTTCAGAGATGGGCCACAGCTTCCTCTTATGTCTGTCACACAGCCAGTCTGGCCCTTTTCAGAGTAAACCTGCTTTTCCTAGTAACAAAACATTAGTGCGAATGTGAGATGAGAAGAGGCAATTTATTCAGGCATTGATAAGGTATTAAATGCCAATCACGTAATCATCAGTGAGAATCCTTAGATGCATTAGCTAAAGATCCTGTGCTAGTGTTTGTTAGACTTCAGGTCACTGTGTGGGGGTCTATACTCAGCTAAACATAACAACGAGAGATTTAAATCTGGAGTCTTTGTGTTGATTGTAAGTATTCTCTCACTCTGCTCCTGTCATTTTTGTATATTTAAGGCATGCTTTGAAAAGAACACCTCTGTTTTTTTATGTATACTCACATAATAGTGGAGAGAGAGCTATTGGGAGGGGTAAGTGTGTTCACTCTTGTTGCCTTGACGATGAAGAATGGAACAAGTGGGGAAATGGATGACAAGGCAAGTATTGGGCCAGCCTCAGTGTACAAAGAGAATTTAAATGGGGTTTCCTGTTTGGGCCAAAACATTGAAGTCAGAGCACTAGACGGGCCGAGTGATTGCGCCAGGCCTTTGAAACTAGCTAGTTGTCGCTCTTTGAGGCAGAGAGCTGTATGGCAGAGCATCTCTTTAAGGAGCAACCTCTATCAAGACGTCTGCAGACCAAGTATCTTTTCACTGCCTTCTACCAAAAGAGAACCCCTGGGTGCAAAATGGTACATGAAGGCCTGTGTAGGGAGTATACCCTCAACCTCATGGTTGATACCATGCATTAATGTCTATGCATGTCTACGCCTATAGATGTGTGTAGATACACATGCACATACATATACACAGATTTTACTTCACAGAATAGGCTCACACCATTGAGGTCTAAGTCCCCAATCTATCGGTCAGGTGGCAAGCTGGAGACCTCAGCTGGTTCTTGGGATTGTAAGGGGCTGACAAGGTCACCTTCTGTAGGTTGGGTAGCAGGCTACTCACACAGCCTTGCATCCTAAGAGCTGTAGGTCAGGTAATGAAAAGAATACAGAATTCAGAGAGTATGAGTTCTGAAAAAAACCTTTATGCATACTCTGGGCGCAGACAACACTGGAAGGAAACGCCCCTTTCAATGGATTGATTATGTTATGAGAGATGATTACATCATATTAGATTCCATTGTGGAACAGCAAGTAGTCTAGTGTTTGGTAAAACCAGTGGAGATCATAGTACAGCTAAGTTGATACAAAGTTTACACGTCACAAGCCCCATCCTCTCAACCCTCCTTCAGGAGTTAGTTGATATTTGCAGGGTATGAGCTGATGGATCCCCAGAGGGCTCTGCATAGGTGTTGGGTCACCAGGCTGGGCCTTCAGGCCTCTTCTACCTGTTTGCCCTGCTGTCTGCACCATGCCTCACTCACATCTGTGTTCTCACTCAGGTTCCTCTTGATGATGGGTGTGCTCTTCTGCTGTGGCGCCGGCTTCTTCATTCGGAGGCGGATGTATCCCCCACCACTGATCGAGGAGCCCGCATTCAACGTGTCCTACACCAGGCAGCCGCCCAATCCTGCTGCAGGTCAGCTTGCCTCTCCATCCTTGTCTCTCATCCGTTCTGGTTACATGTAATAGTCAAGCTACTTCATTGTGTGCTGAGCCTCTGCTTACTCAAGTTAGGATTATCCATTTTCTAAAATAATTTTATTGGCATATACTTCACATGTCATGCAGTTTGATGGTTCCCACATACGAAGATGAGTTGTGCAGTCATCACCACAATCAACCTCAGAACCGCGTTGTTAGTGCTCCATTTCTCCCTGTCCTCCCCGGCCAGGCCCTTGATTATTCAAAGAGCTCCCTATGCTGGATTTCACAGAAAATCAAACAAAACACCAGCAGGAAGTGAGCGAGCAAACAAAAACCAACAACAATGACTAGACAACACATAGAAAAACCACAAGTGAACAGAAAGCAGAAAATATTAAAAACTGAAATGAGACAACTTTAGAATGGGTCAAAGGGGAGCTTAGATAAGGTGCTGCATTTTCACCTAACTGCGTCCTCCATCATTGACTACAATACTCTCTGTCTGATAACAAGGCTGTTAACATCCCTAGACTTTGACCAGAAGGGACTCACTGAGCCTTAATCCATGTGAGAACCCTAAAAACGGATTGGGAGCTTCCATTTGTCATCCATAGTCTTCTGAAAACTGGGTGCTTATAATTTAAACTGCGTGTTTATAATTTAAGCTCTGACACCATCCTTTCTTTTGGATTTGGATTTTGTTACTTACAGTCCTTGGATCACACAGGCTGGTGTGCTTCTCCCATGTAGATTTAGTTGGTTGCTTGTTTTTTTAAGGCAAGCCTTTAGGACCCCAGATGCTAGTCTTTCTGATAGCTGGGCACTATCTTGTTTGTTTACCACACTTTGTTATAGCACCCACATCTTCAGTGATCTCTAGTACTGAGGCTAGTGTTGAGCAGGGCCATATCATAAGAACAATTGTTCTTAGAGTGGGGCTAGAATTAAGTGCAAACCCAAAATCCATTCATAAATATATGACTTCCAGTCGGAAGCTGACCTGTACTTGTATAATTTCCTTTTCTTAACAGTATTTTAAATTCTGTACCATAGGCTAAACTAATGATGCTATAAAGAGAATTACCTTATGCCCCATGGGAGGTTTATCATTTTTCTGTCATTAAATGATAATGATGTCTCTAAAGTGAACCAGAGGATTACCAATTTTATTATGCATTTGTGCTTTCTTTTGACTCAGATGGAAAGAGTTG